GAACAAGAAAGTTTTCACCATCAAACTACCAAACCGTGAAGCTAACATATCCATCGACCGGTTGAAGCCCGCATACGTTTTGCAAGAACAAAAACTTACCCCGGATTTACCACAGAAAGTTACCAAAACATTACCGAGAAAAACTTTACCACCAGAACCTTTACCAAGAAGCAGCATGACAACACAACCGGCAGATAAGCGAACCACATCCGGCCGAGTTGTCAAGCCACCTGTACGCTTCGCTTGAAGGGGAGCACTGTAGCAGCACACAATAACAACACAACACAGAAGTTAATCCTTTTAATTCAAATGACGAAACACCGTCCAGGAAATAGTGATGCTGAATAATTCTTTGGTTACATAGCTCTGAAAAGAGCTTTCGTGCGAAACAACGCTTCACTCTCGGCTATCACTACAGCTTCACGATCACCGCATCTCTTCAAGCAGTCGCCGCGGCACGCGGCACGCCGTCCGCTCGCCGCGCATCGAAGAGGACTCCACACGTCTGCACCGTAGGTGTCGCCCGACGAAATGGACGAGTGCCGCCGCGGACGGCGGTTTTGTCGAGCGACGCGCACGCTTCCCCGCGCGCCGCATTCCTCGCGCCGGGTGCGAGCGAAAGGCGCAAACCTACCTCTCCCGCTCGCACATCACTCATATAAATTATTATGAAACTACCCAATTATCATCGATTAAATAATGTAAAATTTTATATAAATATAACATGTTTTCCAAAATAAAGACATTCATCAACTGACCATCGAGAGTTTAATTTACCGAAACCTACAATCGCTAAAAGTGCATTCGCCCGGATTGCGAAGGGTGCGGGTTCGAGTCCTGTCTGCTGCCTGGTCCGCGTGAATTTTTTCTAGTTATATTTCTTTAGATTTAAACATGAAGCAGTTACATGCTTTGAAATAATAAAAATTATAACTATTATTGCTATTTCTTCTTTCAAATGTTTAATACTTGTAAAAGTATTCATTTGACATTGTGGGTTACCTATAATGCGACAAGATGGAGCTGCCTTGCAGCTTAAGAATGGCTAGAAGAATTTCGACGCGATCCATGAGGGCCGCGGTAGCATAATTGGTCAGTGCATTCGCCCGGATTGCGAAGGGTGCGGGTTCGAGTCCTGTCTGCTGCCTGGTCCGCGTGAATTTTTTTCTAGTTATATTTCTTTAGATTTAAACATGAAGCAGTTACATGCAAATTATAATTAAGTATTTTATGTAGTAGTAGCATAGTTAAGGGCTGATTCAAACCAGAATGGCAGCTGGTAGCGATGCGGCAAGTGAAAGTAGTGTGAAAAAATTTAAAACATTATCTACACACTTAAAAGACGAGTATCTCAAGAGAGATAGCTCTTTCTTATATTATTACCTACTAACTCCAAGAAATGTCGCATTAAAAATACGATTCGCCGTAACCAAGGCGTCTTTTATCTCTACGTATCTAAACCCAAATCCCCTCCGTAACCTCATAAGAAGGTTAATGCAAATAAATTATGATCCCTTCGACGCTTTATAACACCGTGAGACGTAAACAAAGACAAATTCATTTCCACATAGCTTTCTGAGGAACGACACTCATAAATATAAATTTAACAAAATACGTCGCTTCTTCGTTTTACTGACGATTCGTTTTCCAAGGTTTGTACGTTGGCCATATGATTTTCACTTTTTTTTGCTTGTACGGAATTTCATCAACTTTTGGTATTCCATGCATTTCTTTGTCAGTAGCCTCTTTAACGGATAATGACTTCAATTAATTTTTTATCATCAGGTAGATTATCAAAAAGTGCCTAGTTTCGATCATGTGAAAAAAGAAAAATACGTGTTCAACGTATTTTTGACTCCCAAACTTTGACGCGCTTATTTTTGTCAGTTTTTGGTTGACTGAAGAAAAGAAAAAAATATCTCTACACTTATTTTGATAATCTGCCTGACGGACTAGATGGAGTTTCGTAAACTTTACCCCATCAGCTGCCACTACTGCTACTGCTGCTACTGCTAAAACAGTTAATAATTAATAAATATTGCAAGTAACGGGACTTTCCCTGCGTTTTTTATCGCCCTATAAAATCCCTCTATTTCATTAAATTGCTGTACAGTACAGTACAGTTACCGCCAATACGAATTATATTTATATCTAATCTTAAATACCTTTTTCGATGACACGAAGTTATTACGAGGTATACAATTTGCATCATTATGTAGCACGTTTGATTCTCTACTAAATATCTCAAACTAAGTAGCTAATGTTAATTCAATTTCATTGTCATCAGATATTCGACTGGAATAAATGAGGTTTCCTACAAGAGGACAAAACTCGTCACGTACCGAACAAATAACAAGCTTTGCATAACTCGTTTACTAAACTTCACTCGAATAATTATCCAGTTATCATGTTAATTGTGAAGTGAGAATTTCGTGTTTAATGTGATTTTCCAAGTAGGTTTTACGTAACATCACGCCATATCATCCCTTGAAAGGTAAGTAGAACATCAAAGGTAAAGATTTACGTAAAGATTCACGGAAACAGTATTTATATATTCCCCATTTAAAGTCACATTTGACATTTGTTGAGTATAAAATTTGATAGTGGCAGTCTGGCAGCTTAAAGTGTCTACACTTCACACTCTAAACTTTATATGTCTCACAGACATACGCGGCCTGCGGCCACGACTGGGGTAGTGGGCGGCCAGTTGTATTTGTTTGCAATGTATGCAAGTGTTCAAACACGAGTGACTCGGTCGAGGCCACAGGCCGCTTCTGTTTGTGAGACCCTTTAAACTGAAAATAGACATAACAGAAGGTAATATACACACAAAGTATGCTCACGATTGGTATGTCGAACCAATTCAGGCCACTGCGTGCGCGAGTTTTATCCGCTCGAGACACGCGCCTATGAATATAGATTTGCATTAAAACAATATTTAGTTATAATTGATTATATATATATAAGAATGCTGTGTTTTGTACATAACCCAATGACGACAATCCAAGCGCGACCGCCGAGCGTAGGTATGCAAAGTGAAGTACATATATATGATTACCTTCTGTAATGTATACATATTTTGTGCTTTAAGCCTCCCAGACCAAAGGCGCTTTATTATCGGTCGATAAGACTTTAATTATATTCTATTTTAGTAGGTAGCCTGTTCTATTGTTTTTTCAATATTCCCAGTCTAACAAGGTTCTAATAAGGTTTTCGTGTTATGTATATTATGATAAAATTGTTTGTCAAATATAGTAAAAATATAGGTATTATTGTTAACAAACACTATTCCCCATCATATTAAATCTTTTGCAGCGACTGCTATTGCATTAGTTAAAGCTCTTCTACTCTGCCTATACCTCTTAGAAATTCCTGATTTAACCTTATGTTGCATGAATATTTGTTTAAAAGCAATAGAGGAGCTCGACGGCGCAAGTGGTTAGCGCGTTCGACTGCGATCGTTGAACTTAAGCAACTTTCGCAGTGGTCGGTCATTGGATCGGTGACCAAAAATTACTATCTCGAGCTCCTCCGTGCTTCGGAAGGCACGTTAAGCCGTTGGTCCCGGCTGCATCTGCAGTCGTTAGCACCCACCAATCCGCACTGGGCCCGCGTGGTGGGTCACGACCCAATCTCCCTATTCCATCCACAGGGAAGGCCTGGGCCATAGCAGTGGGGACATTAATAGGCTGATGATGATGATGATGAATAGAATCCATCGCTTTCATTCTGAAATCCAAAACTTATATTTTTCAATATTAAAAATTGGAACTATTGAAAAATAACCATTTGCATAGTTTGCTTGTGACATAATTATGTACAAGGAAAACCGGTAGATAAGTACCTATGTGGGTAAAACCGTGTTTGTCACTGTGATGCTGTGATGCAAATTATCTAAAATAAGATTCTAAAACACATTTCGTAACACCAAAGTTAGTAAACTTTTACATTTGACAATGACATTTCGCACTCGCAAACTATTCGAAGTCGATTTTGGTTCTTGCTAAGGGTACTGTACCCTTAGCACTAGAGAACTAAAATCAGTACCCTTAGCACGAACCAATATCGACTTCGAATAGTTTGCGAGTTCGAAATGTCATTGACCACCTTTATTACGGCGTGCAAAAAAGACTACCCAACTTTATTTCACAATAAAATGAAACAAACAGCCTTTTTAAAATTAACATTTTATTCCATAGATTTGAACGTCTAGCAGTTATATGTAAAAAAAAAATCTCGTGCTCTATACGACTTGATAGGGCATTCAAAATGACTCTACCTCTTATAGATTATTTAAAAAAAAAAATGGGTGCGTGTACTTATGTAGGCGCGTGAGAAGTTATCCTTCTTTGGCATCGTTTAAAATTAGTTTTTAATTGCATGCAAATAATTAATTACAATAAATTAATAAAAAGTCTGGAAAAGGACACAGTCAATAAAGTTCAGTTTTAATTTGAAAAAATAAATAAATAATCAAAATATTCAATTAAAATCGCTACTGAATATAATTTATTAGAACATATGTGATTAGCACTTGTATGAAACTCAAACACGTATTCCGAATATACAAACTAGAAACATGTGGATAAATATTATAAATATGAATACCTATAACTGTTACTTTATTACAAAAAATAAAGATGTGGTTTTTGGTTCTACTACACCAATGGTCAAGAGATGGCGCTGTAGTCTCCTGAATCGCGCTTTGGTTCCGTTGTTCCAGATTAATAAATACTTTTGATAGGCCTTCACAATGCAGTCGTTAGCACCCACTAAATAGAGATTCTATATCTATTTTGTTGGTAGATTTTCTTAATGTGCGGTAAACACAAAAGTAACGCATGAAGTTGGTCGCTAAAGCGACCAACTTCATGCTTTTAAAATTTTGTGTTACAGTGATGCGCGCGCATCTTAAAATTTCACTCTCATCATTTTTTATTAACGCGCCTAAAGAAGTATAACTTCAAAAATAGAAAACAAAAAATTTTTTTTTCAAAAACCACCTTTTCTAAAATATTTTCACATCATCTAAAGCCCTTCTAATTCTGCGCCTTTTGAGCACTCATACGTCTTCGTGGCCGCACGCGAAGTCGGTGCACCTTTTGAAGTCGGTTTAAAAATATAATAAATAAATAAATAATGGAGTCATTAATTATAAACTATTTAAATCATTTCAATAAACAGTTTCACACTGTTATTTTACTTTTATTTCCCTTTGATTTTTATTTAATGTGGCACATACTCTGTTTAACTCTACTATGGCACTGCATTTCTATTGTCGACGATTTCATTTCATGTTCGTGTCCAACCATCCTTTGTATTTAGCGACATCAATGAAAATAACGTACTGATATGGATCGCATATTGGCACATTGACCCTTGACACGCTGAGGGAAATGATCCCCCTAAGGTACCAGGCACCTGATGCGTCAGGGGCAGTGGTACCCGAGTCATCAGGCACGAATACTGAGAAACCACCGCCGCTGTCGCCGTTGCAAGCTGATGTACCTGGAAGAGAAAATCGTCATCATCACATCAGAGGAACGATGCCCAATTACGATCATATTACAAACTGTACTATCCTATTAATGTCCCCGCTGGGGAACGTCACGTACTGAAAGTATTAAATTGCGCCACTCCGTAAATTTAATAGCCGTTTGCCTTCGCACACCAAACCGGAAAAATTCAGAATGACGCAGGCAGAATCTTCCTTTTGGTGGGTGCTAACTACTCAGATACAGACGGGACCGATAGTTAGACGTAACTTCTGAAGCACTGGAAAACTCGAGATAGTAAATTTTTGGTCACCCATCCGATGACTGGCCATTGAGAATATTGCTAAACTTCCACCACCACAGCACCAATGGTCTAACTGGATGAATATCCAGCACATTGTTACCATAAGGGCCATATGATTGCTTCAAATAAAAATTAAGTTCTTCGTAACTTTACGCCTTGGATGGAACAGACGGAAAAGTTGACAAAATAGCTTTCAAATATTTCGCCATAGTAAGACGATTAAATAAATGACACAATTATCTATACTATAAATAGGTTTTAATTGCATTATCGACAAAATTCGAGGTCCGAAAACCGACAAGGATACCAATGCAACAATAGCAAAATTGAGAGCAATTTACTAGATTGCTGAGCGTCACGGATTCGTAGCTGTGCACGGAAAGAATTTTCGGAAGCACTGCAAATTTTGGAAGCATTATTGGCTATCTTTTTATTTATTTTTAAGCATTTAACTGCTAGATGTTTAAATCTAAAGAAAAGTTTACTAGAAAAAAAATCCACGCGGACCAGGCAGCGGACGGGACTCGAACCCGCACCCTTCGCAATCCGGGCGAATGCACTATTTGCGCCAAAACGGCTTCTGAATCTGCGAAGTTTTATGTAAAACTGGATACAATATTGATGAATACTCTCATATTCTGTGAATTTCAGATGTCGCAAACTTAGTGAGTGTTGCCACAATTTCAAGACTAGTTGGCGATCTCAGGACCAAAATATGCAAGTTGTCTACTTTGGCCGACTATTGATTGATAACTTAAGATGAAACTTTGAGGAGATTTGGAGAAAGAATTTTTCGATAGCACTGCAAATTTTGGAAGCATTATTGGCACCAAAACGGCTTCTGAATCTGCGGAGTTTTACGTAAAACTGGATACAATATTGATGAATACTCTCACATTCTGTGAATTTCAGATGTCGCAAACTTAGTGAGTGTCGCCACAATTTCAAGACTAGTTTGCGATCTCAGGACCAAAATATGCAAGTTGCCTACTTTGGCCAACTATTGACAACTTTAAGATGAAACTTTGAGGAGTTTTGTGGAGTCAATTGTACTGTGTCAACAAGCATTGGCACCATATTTAAAATCAGGTACCTCTCACGTCATTATTGCCATGTTTATATTATCATTATTCATATACAAATCTTATCTGTATACATACATATACAGCAAGGACTGGATTCTTTGTATGAATACAAAATATCTATGTCTTTAGGGATTAGATTTAGATGCAGTATGATTCAAATAATTACATTGCAGCTTGGATTGGTGATCCTGAGGACAACCTAGCTTAACCAATGGATTAACCGAACCTTTTCCAAAGCGCACAAGAGCTCTAAGAAAATTGCATAGCCTGCACAATTTCACCCAGTAAATATAGGTACTTATCAAACCCTTTCGAATCGCATCTTCGCATTTAGACTTCTCCGTCACTTAACATCAGGTGGGGTGAAGTAATTTATCAGATCTAGGTATCTATAAAAAAAATCTAATGCCAAAGAACTCACCATTGTTAAATCCGGCACAGAACTTTTGATTATTGAGCAGTTTAGAAAAGAAAACTGGGTTGCTTTTTATGCATGTAGTTTCAGATTGTATTGGTATAGTGATTTTTTGTAATGTAGGTGATATAGCATCAGTTTGATCGAAACCCCAACCAACGACCTGTAACAAATATACGATACTATTAGTAGTACAGTAGTTAAGTCTATGAACTGAAGTCACATTTACCAACTATTTTGTCTAGTTATCATCATTTAATAGCTAAGTTTTCAAACGTATTTCAGGTCGTAGTAAAATATTTTCACATGATCCTCTTAAGTCCATTAAGAGGTGTTAAGAGGCAACTGACAAGCCAGTAGGGTGAGGATGTCTGGGATGGCAGGTAAAACTGCTGCACCAGCTTCGCTTATTCAATTAATTATTGAAGTTATACTTCTTTAGCCGCGTTATGAAAAAATTATGAGAGTGAAATTTTCATCACTGTAACACAAAATTTTAACGTAATGAAGTTAGCCGCGGGCGCTTTATTTGTAATATTTTATTTTCCAAGTGACCGTGGGGCAGATTTGAACGGGACATTGAAATGAAATGAAATGAAATGAAATGACATTTATTCATTTTCTAGGCTGTTACAAGCACTTGTGAAGGTCAAGAACACGAACGTGTTTTAGTAACTTACAAGTGCTAATTACATATGGACTAATAACTTGAATTCAGTAGTGATTTTAATTGAATATTTTGAATATTTATTTAATTTTTCAAATTAAAACTGAACTTAATTGACTGTGTTAACTATCCTTTTCCAGTCCTCTTATTATTTTATTGTAATTATTAATTATTTGCATGCAATTAAAAAATATTTTAATGATGCTAAAGAAGTATAACTTCTCACGCGCGTACATAAGTTATACGCATCCATTTTTTATTATTTATTCAATCTTCGCTTCTGAACTTTCCTTTTTTTTAATATCTTTACTCAAATAGGAAGCATAAAACAACTCTTTTGAATCGTCCATTTTTTGTCACAACATCAGCTGTGGTGGGGTGAAACTAGTTAAGACCCATTTATAAAAATGAGATTTTCACGATCAGCCGCCATCATCATAGTTTATTCCTTCCTTTGCCATATCAATATTAACAGCATCTGAATTCATCTGTTAAATTTTTTCTTTGATCTTTATCTGTTTAATTCATCTTTTTTACTAGAGAAAGTATTTAAGAATTGAACACGCTTTCTTAAATTGCATCTACTATTCGTTTAGGTACTTGTCTTAGTTTAGTTATTTAAATAAAACAGAAAAATGAAAAGGAATGAAACGCAGACTATTGAAAAGGGGAACTCAATGTCAAGGCGCTTATTGAGATATAAATTGTTCAAAGGAATATAAATAGAATTATAGAAAGCTAACGGTAACGGAAAAAATAAGGAAAGAAAAGCATATAAATTGCATAAAAAGTATTATTACCGTTCCGTGTAAAGTGCCGGGTGGTAATTTTTTGTAAGCTTCCGAATACCAGACGCAGGCAGGTTGCACGTAGTCAGTGTAGACAACTTCAGATTTGAGTTTCAGGAGAGCTATGTCGTTATCGAGGGTTCGAACAGCAAAGTTTTCGTGGACAATAATCTGGTGGATCTGCAAAATGGTGAATACATAAATATACAATATATTTATCATACTATGTAATACCATTCGTAATGTGAAGATAAGCAGTGCGTTGGCGAGAGATGCGGTAGTAAAAAGATGAGTTGATAATAACTTTGCTAAAACATTGCTGATTTTGCGGTAAGGTGTAGATGCCAAATAACTATAAATAACAACATCGATTGTTGAGAAACCTCCTAATTTTGCATTAACGTTCGCGCATGATTTGATTTACGAAGCTTTAGTAGATACCTCTCTTTCTTGGGGAGCTATGTCTCCCCCTGCAAGATTGTACTTGCCAAGTATTACATTTCTTGTCTCCGGTAGTACTGGATTTCCTCTTAATGTCATACAATGCGCCGCTGAAATTACAACATTAAATATAAATAAATAAATAAATATTAATTAACCACACTCACACCAATTAGCCTAGCCCCAAGCTAAGCACTACAAGGCTTGTGTTATGGGATACTAGGGTAACCGGATAGAATACATATACTGTACATATATAAGTATATTTTTAAAGAAATACATATTAAACATCCATGACTGGAGTACAAATGTTCGTATTCATCACACAAAACATCTGCCCCCACCGGGATTCGAACCCGGGACCTCTCGAGTCGGCGACACCATGAAACCCGGCGTACAAACCACTCGGCCAAGGAGGTCGTCAACATTAGCCATTTATAATAAGGTTTATTTCACAATGAACTTTTAGAGATCAATCGTTTTAAAAGATGGTAAAAAAATCAATAAGTGCTTGATGTGGACATATTTTACAGTATTTTGAAAGTTTATTACCAAGCATTTATGTGAATACAAAAAAGTTAAGTAGCAAATTGTTAATATGCTTAGTTTCACCAAATCTTCAAATCTAGTTTCAAAGCCACTAATAGTTCATAAACTTCATTATTTACATGTGGTTTCAGTTTGTGTTTCTGTTTGTTTATTTAATTAAAATTCGGTCCGTTCGTACTGTCTCTAAAGCATGATGTGGCTACCTTCAATAGAATTTTGCATTTTGTATGTATCACTATAATGTTTAAAAATAAGATTTAATGTAACTTTCTCTGGTGGTCCTAATAAATAAATAAAACCTTACATCGTCAGTTAATTCAGTAATGCTAATACCATAAACAATTGCTCTTTATATAAGAGTAATAAGTAGAGGAATTAAATCTTAAATATATTTAACATTATTAGAGGTTCGTTGACGGCTGTACTTGTATTAACTGTGTCACAACCGTCAGCGAAAAGTAGTATTTCACCGTCAGCGTAAATAGTATTTCAAAAAAATTAATAAAGCGGCATTTAGTTTATTTATGAACAGTTTCAGCCGTGAAAAACAACCTTGACTCTTATACCGTTTCTTTTACATCAAATCGTAATAGTAGATTATTTTATAGGTCTTCTATTAAGGCAAATCAAATCACCTGTAACTACAAAGATTTTGCTCAGCAGAGTGCCTCCACAGATGTAGTTGAACTTGGAATTTTCAAGTCTGTAGATGGCAGCGTGCCACGGCCAGTCACCTGGTTTGGTGGGTACCCCATTAACAATCAGCTCCGTATGCTGAATCTTGCGTCTGCCACAAGAATCGTCAGGGACTGTTGTGATGATTTCTGCAGTCCCTTTGTATCCCTTGATGTAATTATCGAGGAAACCCTGGAATATGATTGACCTTTGGTTTGAAGTTTGTTTAAAATGCTATATATTTGTATAAAATAAGACGCATATTATAAACGGTTGGTGGAGCGCCTGGGTATTTGCGCCCTAAAATAAATTAAAACGCTGAATTGTGTATTTCGAATATGTAGAAACTACGTTCTGAAAATTAAAAAGGACGAAGGATTATCTTATAATACGTAAGAACACGTTTCTTTCAATCGTGTTTTAACGTAACTCGGTGGATCAAATTCTAATCACCGCGTGTTAAAAGATACCATTTTATCTTCCTCTTTTTCATACACTGTCTTTGCATTATGTTGAAATTCTGGGACTTACCGAAACCGGCTTTTCGCAGTGCTCCGCCGTGTTGACAATAATGTTTGTGGGGTAAGGCACTCCTTCGAAAGGTGGACCTTGCACTTTAACTCGGAAGCTCCTTGTGGAGCCGAAGAAGTTCACGAAAAACTCTCTCTTTTTCGAATCCGCTGATACACGGGCGGATGCGTTGTTCAACTGAAATAAGATAGATTTTTTTATATTAAAGAGCTGGCAAATAGGTATATGCCCCGCCTGGTGATGTACGACACACTCGTTTTTATAAAGTTCACTACATTACTAACTTCCATTTAGGAAGGAAATCTATCTAAAACTCAGCGTCTAGCTAAATTGCAATTAATAAGTTGTAAACGTGTAATATGTTTTATAATTAATAATATTTACACATTTTCCGGTAACCTAGGTAAATATTGATATATTAATTATGTGGCCAGTAAATCTGAAACGGGGGAATTTAAATTAAAGAGATTTTAACCTAGTTAGGTTTATTTTAACTACGTATGTTCGTCAATTTACAAAGCTTTGACTAATGTGCAGCTTTGACGAGTATGCAGAAATAAGAACTTGACCAATGTGCAGCTATGACGAGTATGCAGAAACATGAACTTGACGAGTAGACAGTAAAAATAAGAATTTTGCATCGCTTGACGAAAATGCAGTTTTGACGAGTGTGTCGTACATCCGTCTGGTAAGCAGCCGGGTTCCTCTATTTAACAGAATTTATTTATTTATTTTATTCTTCATGCACATACTGTACAATGGCGGACTTAATGCCGTTCTCTACCAGTCAACCATAGGGTGTTGTGGAGATTTTAGTGTCAGGGTGCACAACTGAGGTAGAGATCACATCTAAAGAAATAGTATTTTTACTCATCTATACTTATAATAAATCTGTAGAGATGTCAATTCTGTACATGAAATATATTTTTAAAATAACTATCACGGGGTGATTAGTGATCGATACTGATGCCAAAAATGCAATCAGTAAAATTTTTGTCTGTCTGTCTGTCTGTCTGTGTGTATGTTCCTTATAGAAACAAAAACTACTCGACGGATTTTAACGAAACTTGGTACAATTATTCTTCATACTCCTGGGCAGGTTATAGTATACTTTTCATCATGTTACAATCAATAGGAGCAGAGTAGTGAAGGGAAATGTTGGGAAAACGGGAGAAGTTACTCCATTTTTTAAGCTTCCGTCGCGTGTGCAGCCTTAATGGTTAAAGTTACATAGAAATCATGTATGACGGAAATATTCTATATAAAATTGTCTAAAAAATATTCCGCAACAGCATATGTCTATCTTTTATGGTTGACTCACAATAACACGTGTAACTCCCGATAGCTTAGCAGTTCGGAGCATTCTGATCATATTTGTTTACTCTTACGTTTATAATACTCTGACTCATCCCTAATTTAAAAAAGTTAACATTATTACCAATTTAAGCAAAAAAAACATAGAAATCGGTATAGAAACACCAAAATTATACATGAAATAAGCCATCGCGCCGTCGCACGTGAATACTGAATCATGCTATAAGGATTATTTTTGTGTAACGGTTGCCGCGCTCGACACGGGTCGCGGCGGCGGTAGGGTATCAAAAGGCGGGAGGTCCGAGAGCGAGCTGTCTAAACCTGTTTTCTGCGTCGCTCTCCCCCCGGGGCTTCTGATTCTGATGAAGCCTTAGAGGCCTTCCGGGCCAGAGGCAGCCACTACGGGTGTTTTTTAGTCAGTACGAGTCTGACATAACCTTGCAGCCGGCTGTATGGTATCCATGAGGATATCTCACCTGCTCCCCCGCCTGGGAGGGAACAAAAAAAATAGAGCGAGTGAGCTTCAATATTTGGCTGTTGATGCGTTCAGAGCGTTCGACCTTATTGACAGACAATAATTGATATTGAGAAACCGTGCTTATCAGCGCGACTTTTAGTCTTTAAATAGTTTATTTGAATTTCTTTTTTTGTTATTTTGTAAAATAGGTATAAGTTGTTTTGGTAGTGTTTAAATATTCGTTCAAATTAAAAATTATTAAGCGTAGGTACTTCTATTAATTAAAGTAGTAATAAGTATTTATTTTTAAGTGAAGTAGGTATAGGTAGATAGTATTGCACAGGCGTTTCAGCTTTATTTTCATTTCTTTTTTGTTGTGAGTTGTATATATTTCTGGTTATAATTCTATAAGAATATTTTAGTTTAAATAGTCACTTAGATTTTAAGTGTAAGGTAGCTAAAGTTAGGACCACGTATTAGTTGTTTTGGTAGTGTTTAAATATTCGTTCAAAGTGTAATTTAATCATATGGGATAAATGTACGATGGCCCATCGAAAAGAAGTAGAAGTGGTAGACAGAACTTTAAGGGATATAAGACAAAACGATCGATCAATGGGCGGTATCACAGTTTTATTTTGTGGTGATTTCCGAATACCACTTACCGGTAATACCACGGGGAACCCGAGCTGATGAGGTTAGGGCTTGCCTGAAAAGCTCTTATTTGTGGCGTGATATGCAATCGGTGCATTTGACTATAAACATGCGAGTGAGAACTGTAGATAACCCGGATGATCGTGAATTTTCTGATATATTATTAAAGAAAATGCCTTCACCAAAGATACCTATCCACTGCTACACCAGCAATCCCAACAACATCTTATATCGTCAGCTTACGGTGACGTAACAAATATATTAAATAAGGACAATTCTTGGCTATGCGAAAGGTCCATTTTAACTCCTCGCATTGACCAGGCATCTGAGATTAATACTAAATACTGTCGAATATCTAGGGGGAGAGCAAAGTTTATAGTTCAATAAATAGAATGGCCGATGAAGAAGAAACCACTAATTACCCGATAGAAATTTTAAATTCTTTAAATATGCCCGGACTTCCTTCTCATGAAATTTGTTTAAAAATTGGCATTCCGATTATTCTGCTCCGAAATTTAAGACCATCACAACTTTGCAATGGAACTCGGCTTAAAGTAACTCAGTTGCAACAAAATGTAATCGAGGCTCAAATTATAACAGTTTGCGGTACATCTTTATACCCAGAACTCCCATAATACCAAATAATTTTCCATTCCAATTTAAAAGAACGCAATTCCCAGTATCGGTGTGTTATGCAATGACAATAAATGAGGCTCAAGGGCAGACTTTTCGTGTTGCTGGAGTAGATCTCGGTGTCAGTTGTTTTTCACATGGTCAGTTATATGTCGCTCTTTCCCGGGTTAGCAGTTCTAGAAATCTTTATGTTCACGTGCCGGACGGGTCAACTTTCAACGTAGTTTACCCGGAAGCTTTGCGCTGAAGTATTTTCATTCTATATGTACTTAAGCCTTATGTCAAAGTGATCTAAACAATATTACCAATACATTTACATAATAACATACAAGGAGTTACACGCTGATGGTCTCGGGGCACAGTGATAATAATAATATTCTGCGGTTCCTTATTGCGATATTTTTAACAGTATTGTGGATTGACATATTATGTTTCCCTACTATAATACGAAAGTTAATCTGTCTGTCACATCAAAACCACGGAACCCTGAGGAAGGACATATTCTACTTTTTTACGAAAAACGACGAAAACGCGGACGAAGTCGCGGGCAAAAGCTAGTAATAAATATAATAATGAATGAATGATTTATTTATTTCTCTCACAAAGTCACAAAGTAACATTATAATTACAAAAGGGATTACAATAACGATAAAATAATATAACAATAACATACATATATAAGTAGATATATACAAAAAATATAACTAAACATATACATACACATACATACATACATACAGAATCTTCTTAGGTTTAAGAAAGAGTGTGTGGAATGCGTGCGGAGTGCGGGTGCCACGACCACACCCGCACTCCGCACGCATTGGGGGGACTTCGGCCCTTTTTTTGTTCGATGACGGGGAGACAAAATGCGTCATATCTACGACACTGACCAACGCCGCGTCGGTTTGCTGTTAACGAACCCTCGCGACGTAATTAATGGCGTGGTGCATTGTCCTGATTTATCTATACTTATAATAAATCTGTAGAGAGGTCAATTCTGTACATGATATATATTTTCAAAATAACTATCAGGGGGTGATTAGTGATCGATACTGATGCCAAAAATGCAATCAGTAAATTTTTTGTTTGTCTGTCTGTCTGTCTGTCTGTGTGTATGTTCCTTATAGAAACAAAAACTACTCGACGGATTTTAACGAAACTTGGTACAATTATTCCTCATACTCCTGGGCAGGTTATAGTATACTTTTCATCATGCTACAATCAATAGGAGCAGAGTAGTGAAGGGAAATGTTGGGAAAACGGGAGAAGTTACTCCATTTTTTAAGCTTCCGTCGCGTGTGCAGCCTTAATGGTTAAAGTTAGATAGAAATCATGTATGACGGAAATATTCTACATAAAATTGTTTAAAAAATATCCCGCAACAGCATATGTCTATCTTTTATGGTTGACTCACAATAACAAGTGTAATTATATAAATAAAGTCATTGTTTATAGCACAAGCCTGAGAACAAAAACTATAGTTTACACTACAGCTCTACACCGAAGCGAAGCGAGGGCGGGCCACCAATCAGCCTATTAATGTCCCCACAGCTGGGGCACAGGCCTTCCCTATGGATGGAATAGGGAGATTGGGCCATGACCCACCACGCGGGCCCAGTGCGGATTGGTGGGTGCTAACGACTGCAGATGCAGCTGGGACCAACGGCTTAACGTACCTTCCGAAGTACGGAGGAGCTCGAGATAGTAAATTTTTGGTCACCCATCCAATGACCGACCACTGTGAAAGTTGCTTAACTTCAACGATCGCAGCCGAACGCGCTAACCAATTTTTATTATTATTATATTATTATTTTCAATTTTAGTATACTGTCAATTATTTAATTTCATTATATATCACCATTGTACTTTTAAGCGAATCCTTTCAGCAGTTTTTGCGTTTTGATTTTGAACTTACAAACTTTTACGTTGAAATATAAGTAGATTAAATCGTTACTTACCAAAGTCACTGTAGCATCTGAGTCAAACTTCAAAACAACCTCGTAGTTAGGTTTAAAGTCTTCTCTTAGCTGTAAGATGTACTGGTTCTCCACGTTTGGTGGTAGACCACTCTCAAATGTTGCTGTGATGTTCTCATTGTCCTTGCACGGACTAAAATGCGCTAGAGGATTGCCGACAATAGCAAAGTATTCCTCTTTAGCTAAAATCGACCTTATCACAATGAAAATAAACGCTGTTCTCACCTTAAACATTTTCATTTAAACCCACATATATTATATAGAATAAAAACAAACACCTTACATTAAATTGTACTCAAGTGAAACCAAGTGAAACAGCACTCTCCAAGAAAAACAAAGTTGCACTGAGTTGGATTCAACATCAATAATGTCACAGTAATAACTATAAAATTAGGTTTTTCTCTAAATAACCACCAGTCCTTAGTAAATAATTAACTGACTGGATAATGAGTGACTAAGCATATTAAGATACTTATATTCCTAATAATTATAAATTATTTTGAGAAGTCATCAAATTTCTGAAAGGCTGTTCATAGCTTTAATTATCTCTTTCGTGTTTCGGAAGGCTAACAATGTCATCTGTACTAATAAGCACCTACTAATTCACACTGAAACCATATCGTGAGCCATGGCAAGTTAGCCTATTTAATCCGCAGGTATCACTGGATCCAATAGTATATTAAGGGCCGAATCACACCGGAATAGCGGCTGGCAGTGTGAAGTAATTTAAAACATTATCTACATAGTTAAAAGACGAGTATCGCAAGAGGGATAGCTCTCTTTTATTATCAAACATAAATAAATAAATAAATATTTTCAACACTCACACCAATTAGCCTTGCTCCAAAGTAAGCACTGTAAGGCTTGTGTTATGGGATACTAGGGTAACGGATAGAACACAATATTTTACATATATAAGTATATTTATATAGATATACATATCAAACATCCATGACTGGAGTAAAAATTGCTCGTATTCATCACACAAACATTGCCCGCACCGGGATTCAAACCCGGGACCTTTCGAGTCGGCAACACCATGAAACCCAGCGTATAAACACAGAGGTCGTCAAATTATTCCCTACTAACTCCAAGAAATGTCTCTTGTCTTTTATCTCATCGTATCTAAACCCAAATCCCCTCCGTAACCTCATAAGAAGGTTAATGCAAATAAATTATGATCCCTTCGACGCTTTATAACACCGTGAGACGTAAACAAAGACAAATTCATTTCCACATAGCTTCCTGAGGAACGACACTCATAAATATAAATTTAACAAAATACGTCGCTTCTTCGTTTTACTGACGATTCGTTTTCCAAGGTTTGTACGTTGTCTTTTTTCGTTTTCGTTGACTTTTGGATTAACTCGAGCGCAGCAGAATAACATATGGGGAGCAACCTTGTACGTAGTTAAGTACTCCCACTATACCTGAGCCATCTACGTAGGGCCAAACGTCTAGGGCAACAAAAACAAAATTTCAACAAACGATTATGACTTTTGGTCGGATCCAAATCGTCAGTCTTTTGAATAGGAGCTACTGGAGGGTTCAAGTCACATCCCTTCTCAATGTCTGACGCGCTTGGTTATTTTTTCCTATATTCTACCCCTTCGTACGGCCATCCCCATATCATGCAAACCGCGGCAGATCAATATTTTTTCGTTCTTAGAAACGTTATATGAACCCTCTAGTAGCTTATAATCAAAAGACTGACTGACGATTTGGGCGCGACCAAAAGTCATGACCGTTCGTTGAAATTTTGTTTTTGCTGCCCTAGACTTCGGCCCTACACTGAGGGCTCAGGTATAGTGGGAGTACTACGTGCAAGGTTGGTCCCCATATATTTGTTATTCTGCTGCGCTCGAGTAAATCCAAAAATTCCCGCTTGGACTCCCCTACTATTACACTCTAAACTTTAAGTGCCTCACAGACATACGCAGCCTGCCACCATGGCCGGGGTGGCGGCCGGCCAGATGTATTCTCCTGCAATGTATGCGAATGTTCAAACACGAGTGACCCGGTCGTGGCCGTAGACCGCCCCTGTCTGTGAGACCCTTTAAATACAAAATAGACATAACAGAATGTGAAATACACACAAAGTGTGCTCACGATATTATGTCGAACAAGTTCAGATCACTGCGAGCGCGAGTTTCATCCGTTCGTGCTATGCGCCTATGTTATATGTACAGGTAATACCTGTGCCTAGATTTTATTTGTTCAGTAGACCTTTGATTAAATTGAACACGATTAATTGTTGTTTTTTAAAATGAACATTTAAATAATATTGAGTTATTGTTGATTTATTTCCGTTCATTCTGTTTCATTGTCGACAATAAATCAAACAACTAGATACGAGTGCCACAACTGCGTTTTGTGTACAAGCCAATGCCGACCGACCGCCGCACCGAGCGTAGGTATGCAAAGTGAAGTACAGACTTAAGATTACCTTCTGTAATGTATATGTTGTGTTTTAAGTTAGCCCTATTTA